CTGCTTACCAGCATTATTTCTTGCTTAGCGAGGTAAACGAGTGCGTCGGCCAGGAGTCGAACCCCGAACCATGTGCATGGTCGGCGAGCGTCTTAACCGCTGTGCCACCGACGCAAGCTAGCGAATTGGTAGACATTAATTTACGTCAATGTTTATGCCCTAAATACTGGTCGTGAGAAAATATGAACAAGACTGATTCAACAACCAATCACAGCAGACTTTGCTTAGGCAGATACAATTAACATATAGATGAACTCTAATTTAAGAAACAGTTACAAAGAGATGCAAGGTCAACTGTCTGTAGGAAACAACCAATCAGAAGAGTGTGTTTGTTTGCTTGAATAAGCTATGATAATGCACATGAAAACATATAAATAGGTGTCGATTTCCTTAATAAACGATCTGTTGCCTGGTCCTTGTCTTCTTTTGTTACAGTAGTAATAATGATAATAATAACTGCTTTATTCTAAACAAAATACCTAAATAGCGCTTAAAATTCTCAGAGTAATTCACTGCATAATATTCCTCCTCATCCAGGAACTCCAAGTAGAATAGCAATTTTTTAGTATATCATTTGACGCAGTGTGAATCGATATGAAGCATAGACTAGTCAGTTTTCCTTTCCATCTGAAAAATGCGCAGCGGTAGTTTGAAAGCCAGTCCAGGAAGTGTGTGTGTGAGCACAAGTGAAAGAATTAGAGAAAATATAATGAATTTTTGTTGGATGGAAATTCTAGTAGTAGCCCAGTGATTCAACACAGGCCACCAACACTTACATTTTCTGCATTTTTAAATTTTAGGTTTATCTCATATACAATATAGACAAACCGATTGCTAACTGAGACATGAGAACCAGCTACAAACTAGGCAATGATTTAAATGAAGGCATTACGAGTTATGCAAAGCTGTGATGTGAATAAATGGTGATTAACTGTTGTTTAACGGCTATTTTAGCTCTACGGTCGCGTCTTTTATTGTTAACTGTAAATATATTGAATCATAAAGTGAGGAGTGGGTTGACGATGAAACTACCTGAGACAGGTGTAGCATAGAAAAGTTCATCCGATCCCGTGAAAGCCATTGATTTATGACCATTACTATAAGACAGACATTTCACTTCCAATCGTTCAGGTATTTTATTGAGTGATCTTTCTAAATATGAAATTTAAAAGAAGCACAGCTAATCACATTATTATATGTGTAAAAACTAATAACTCCAGTAGGATGTATGATGTTGTTAAAGTTCATAAATCAGGATACCCTATTAGGTCTATAGTTGATTTTAGAAATTCACCTACTTATGAATTATCTACATATTAAGCCATGGTAATAAAACCTCTAAAAGGTCACTCGAAATCTAGACTAGCTAATTTTTATGAAATAAAACATAGATTAGATAATTTAAAATTAGATAATGAAGAGAAAATGATTAGTTTTGACATTGTCAGTTTATATACACGTATACCAATAAATGTAACTATAGACGCAGTCGGAATCGAACTCATTTCTGACCAAGAACTCGAACTTAGGACAAAAGTACAACTTGAGGACATAATTCTGGGAGTGCAGCTATGCCTGACTTCCACAGTATTTAAATTCTAAGGAAAACTATTCAAACAAACTGAGGGAGTTGCCATGGGATCACCAATATCCCCGGTTGTAGCAGATATATTCATGGATAGGTGGGAAAAGATAACGATTGAAACGTTCATCCCCACCCCAAAAGTATGGTGGAGGTATGTAGATAACACATTCACTGTACTTAGAACACAAGATATAGATAGATTTTTCGAACATATCATAACTCAAAGGCGGAGGCAATTCAATTCACTTATGAATTGGAATGTCAGGAAGGAGGGCTTCCAATGTTAGATTGCAACGTTAATTAGCAAAGAAGATGAGAAGTTAAACACTAGTGTTTACAGGAAACCCACACATTCAAACAGATATTCGGACTTCCAATCATCCCATCCTATGTCAGTAAGAATAGGATTGGTGAAATGTTTAAGTGACAGAGCACAAAAAATAAGTAGTACCAACGAAAGTCAAAGACAGAAAGTGATACACATAAAAGAAGCTTTGAAACCTTATAATTACCCTGATAAATATGTAAGAAAATGTAAAAATAAAATAAATAATGACAGTAGTGATAGTGATAATGATAGTGATAATAATAATAATAATAATAATGACAACATGCATGTCAAATATGCGCAAGAAAACACCAACAATAAGGAATCTAAATCATCAGCGGTAATTCCATACAAGAAAGCAACATCGGAAACCTTACGCAGAACTCTTAACAAGGCAGGAATAAAAGTGGCTGGCATTCAAACCAATCACAAAATCAGTTAGAAACAAGCTTTGTCGGTTAAGGGATCAATGCTGTAGAGCCAATAAAACAAAACAATTTAGTTTATCTAATACCCTGCTTCTAGTGATTGTCAGGTCAAATACATAGGTCAAAGTAGTAGAACAGGGTCAGTGAGTCAGACTGGCCGAACATAAAAACCTAGCAAAATCTAGATTGGTTGACTCGAATAGGATAAGAAATCTAGAGAATAGTTCAGCTATACCACTCACTACATGCAGTCACACACAATCATACAATAGGATGGGATAGGACGACAGTTTGAAAACCTAATGTCACAGGCTGGAGGCAGAGATTGATAGCAGAAGCTCTGTCTGCCGAATAAACTGCAAATACATATAATAGGAATGATTCAACACCTGTCCAGGTGGATACCTGGAAAATTCTACAACCCCAACGACGACGAACAGGAGAGGACAAATGAAAAACTATAAAACTCAAATATCAAAGTCGTGTGATTATAATTGGTGAGATAATTATGAACAATAAATTCCATATGAATCGTCATCCAGCAAATAATAATACTGTTTCACTGTGTGACACATCTGATAAACAAACTAATATGGAATCACAACTAATCAGTTTTTGGAATTAATCGACTAGTAGTAGGTTAGTTCGCAAACCAAAGCACTAGTGTGGATGTTTAGGAAACGTTTTTTTTTAATACTGCTTGTGTGTTTCGTCTTATTTTCGTGGTTACAACTTTTCCGCATTTATTATGCTTTAATTCTTCGTCTCTGACTATGACGAAAAAAGTTGTTCAATAAGTTGTTTTAGATTAGATTAGCATCGCCCAATGGACGTATTACTTGGGATTATTAAAATAATTCATTTTTAATAAAACCTCTCATGTTTCCCGTTAAGGCAATTTAGGCATTATACCAGACATACCATCAAATACGTATTTGCTTAAATGAGAGATTCAAGTGGATATGAATAAATTTTAGTAAGGACTATCCAAAATGCAAATAGGATTGTTATTGATAGCCAGTATAAATTGCCCAACTTTAATCGATATGGATAAAAGCCTTAGAAACTGCAAAGAAAGATATCGATAAAAAAAGGACTTTGTTCAGTCATTAGTTTGACTGCTCCTGCACAGTTAGTTGCATAGGGTCTACAATTGCGCAGGTTCATCATCATATTTCTTAACATCATCCTGCATATCTAAGGAAGGGGAAAAACAAGATCTAGTTGTAGCATTGCTTCAGTACACCTGTTAGATAGTGAGCATAAAATTGATGTTAACGAAGCATTTAGAGTTATTTATCTCACTCCAGCTAATATTGATTCTGCTTCATGAGTTCATCTTCTGCGTACTACTGAAGTCATAGAAATTTACCTGAAGAGGCTAAACCTGTATGTTCAGAAGAAATTTGTACAACCACTTTCCTTATCTTGACCGTCGTTAAGTGAATTCAAAATCCCAAGAATTTCATTTTCCCTCTGAGCCTTTTACAAGTTAACACTGTCCGAAGTTATTTTAATTTTCTGACTACATCATTTTTAATTGCTTGTTAGGCAATTGACTTGAAAAACCATTTATTTCTTAATTACTTCTGATTTTCGCAAATCTCCCTATTATGCAATCATTTCTGCCCTTAAATTCTCCATACATTTTCAACTCCAGTGTTAACTCACTGCTACCATACGGATCAGAGACTTGGTGCCGAGTCATAAAGAGCATCTCAAACAAACTACATACCTTCATCAACAGTTGTCTTCGCTCAATACTCAAGATAAGATGACCGGCCAGAAAAGATCAGTGACAGGGATCTCTGACAATGAGCTAATTAACCAGGAACCGATTGTGCAACAAATAGGCAGGAAGAAATGGAGATGGATTGGCCATACTCTGAGGAAACAAACCATTAAGTGACATTCATAGACAAGCCAATGCTCGAATGGAACCCGAAAGGGAAGCGGCGAGTTAGTTGTCAGTGCGAGGGTGACTTGGAGGAGGTGATGTGAAGAGGAGGTGAGAGCGTGTGGGCAGACTAGGAGCCAGGTGAAAACTCAAGTAGAGAACCGAACGCAATGGAGACGCGCGGTTGAACCCCTGTATTCCTCTAGGAATGAAAAGAAATAATAATAATTCACTATACTTATTTTTTTGGTTATTTATAACCCCGTTGACATGTTGATATTCACTAATTACTGTAAACAAACTTTACGCCACTAGATTCGTAATTTCTTTGTTTTATTAAGAATTTAACATATACATATTAGATTAGAGCCAGTGATGGGGATCTAATTGAAAAGGAAATATTTCATAGCTCAGTGCCTCTGCCCTCTAAATGTTTATATCGGGATGTTTTTTTCTATTTCGAAATCATCCGTGATTCTAAAATACACGAAAATTCTTTAAAACGATATTAATTCTCAGATATAACAATGGCGATTTGTTTCATCAGACTTAATCCAAAGAAGATCATATTCCTTCTAAGCAGAATTAACACTGCTTTACTCTTCAAAGCACAAATTAACTTAACTCTGAAGATCAGAGAACTGGTTTTAACCAATTAGAACGTTTTTCCCCAATAGGGTAATGTTGATTGGTTAAATTTTCAACTAATCACAAGACCAGAAATTTATTAGGAAAAATTTCTTTTGTAAGTGATTTACCATTAAAACTTATCATATCTTGTGACAATGGTAATAAAGAAGTAAATATGAAAGGAAAGCATTCAAATGGAAAAAAAATAATAATGTTTCGTTATTCTTATAATACTTGATCATATTCCCATGAAGCAGACGTTGTATTTCCTGTAGATTCATGCTAGTTGTGTTAATAACTATTACTTGAATGATCGATAAATATGCAGATACTTGACTGTGAAGAGACTTATTGTCTAAGAAAGCATCAAGAATCTTGTCTCAAGTAATGTCGTTGCTGAAAATTACACACATTTTAAGCCAATGAGTGCTAAGTTCAGTTTTCCTGTATTTCTTGACACATGCAATCATTACATTCATAAAAATCTAAAACTTGACAAAAAAACAACTGATATTATTACAACAAAAGATCCTGTTGACATGGAGATGAAACATCATTCAGCGTATAATGTAAAAGAGCATGGATCTAGTAGTATGATTCATGACGATACAATTCATCATGTACAAAGTATCCCATGGGAATCTGTTAAGAGTGATACAAGAGTGGATCCTTATCTTTGTGATTTCGACATAGAATTATGCAATCGATCAAATTATGTGGATATGTATAATCCTAATAGTAGTTCAGACTATAATAAATTATCAAGTAATACCTCAGTGGAATATAAACAATATCTTGTGCCACCACAACCTCAGGAATGTACTCAACGACGAACATCATTGCACGGGAAAACAATCACTGTACGTATCAGTCGTAATGAAACTAGATATCGGAAGTTACAAGCAAAAATTTATAATTTTCTTGAAAGACCTAAAACATGGCCATCTGTGATATATCATGTAATTGTGTAAGTTTCTTTTTATTTTATCATCAGATGCTAATAAGTTTTTTTAAATGTTTATTCCATTACCAACTTGTTAATTAATAACTGTTGAGATAAAAATTTGGGTCTGCATTTTAGTGATTTCATACTACAAAATGTAATGCAGTTGAACAATTATTTATCAGATTCTGTGCTGCTGTCATGGATATCATTCCAGTTATGTGAGTCTATGCCTCCTAAAGAGTTCCCATCTTTGGGAAAGGCGCCACAGCTAACAGGAAGATGGTTTAAGCTGATTTCCGAATTAAGGAAATTACCTTCATGCTATCGATTGCACTGATTGTAGATTTTGACAATAATCTGTGAATATCGAGGACTTGTTAACATGGGTTGTTATGTATCTGAAGGTATATATATGTATATATATATATCATATATGTATATCTCCTGGAGACGAAGGTTAATTCCGTCGAAACACCTATCAAACTGGTACCTATTAGATCAAGAATATATAATTACTTTCACCGCTACTCAGATGTATAAAGTCTGCATTTAATGTGTCATTAGGTTTCTAAAACTCGCTTGCCTATACTTAACAAACGCCTTGAAGTTTAGTGAAATAAACACAATAAAACTAGATATTCAACATGATCTTGAAAAGCAAATGTTTGCAGAAATACCTGCAGGACGAAATAAAAAAAAAACTCCTATGGATCTCAGTTAGTTTAGTTCTTTTCATGGGTTCGAACTTACTTGGGCATTATTATCACTGTTTACAGGAAATCTAATAAAACTATCATAAACCCTTATATTTAGTTGTGACAGCTATTTTTACTTACATGGGTTACACTTGTCTAATTAGTATGCTGTGGTACATACTAATCGGCATTCCCTCATGTCATGTAGTGAAAAATGTGTCAGAATAGTCTTGTTCCACACTAGAAGCGCCAGTAATAAAAGACGACAACCGTTTAAAAAAATGTAATATTATCTGGTTCACACGTTAAAATTTGTTAAAAAGCACAGAGTATTCATCTACATAGATTTTGTATTTTAAAGCGAGAATGACGAATTATAAGAGACTCGGTAGGTGATTATGCAAAAATAGTAAAGTCAGTCTTTTTTGTATCATGCAAATAATAGTTATAATAAAAAGTGAATTAAACTTCATGCTACATTCGAATCTGATAAATCAAAAAAAAAACCATTGATGACCAATGGATATGTTAATCTGCAGAACCAATTGCTGTATTCCCATTACATTAAGGAAAAAAATGGCACTTTTATATTAATCCTTGCTACCAGATTTCGCTCAATGTCTCCTAATCCTTGAAAAGATTTCACTTAGTAACTAATGTGATATATAATTTTTGTTTAGCAAAGATGTTTAGCATGAAATTCGGTGTAAGAAGCCGTTAAATTAGAGTTAGTTGAAATCTTTGCATTAATACATCCCAATTACAATTAAACAGAATTTGATTAGTTTATGGCTTCAAAATATTTGGCTAGTAAGTACCATGTCTTGTAAAGTGATGTTTAGCTGGCACGATAGTCATTAATTTAATAATAATAATAATAATAAACAGACTTCAAAATATTCTGAAATTTGACTTGATTATGGACGTAACAGTTGAAGCTGCCTCCTGTTTTCTGGTCTAATCATTCCAACATTTTGGGCTAATGAATTTCACTCCGCCTGCTTTATTTAGTCTAGGCAACAGAGTATTTGTTAAAACACACAGTGTTGTGCAGTAACATTAACTGAGGCCCACGTTTCAAGCACAAACTATTGCCACTCATAATCATATCAAGTTGCTCACACAACTTTTTCCCTTCATTTATATACATGTCTGGAAGCGATTAGTGTAGGATAATGTACATTCAAAAATAATGATATAAGTGTTATTGATCAATTACAATCAGATGGGAAATAAGACAAGCACTGGCATCAAATAACTATCCTATAAAAATTATTAGCAATATCAGTAAAGGCCAAAAGCAAAATAAAATTAATTGTGGAACTAGTAATGATAACATAAATAAGGAAGAATATAAGTCATCTACAGTTATACCATATAAGGAGAGGACATCTGAGACCCTACCCAGGAATCTCAATAAAGGAGGATTTAGGGTGGCATTCAAACCTACAAACTCACTCAGAGACAAGCTCTGTAGGCTAAAAGACCAGATGGAACTGATTAAAAAAAATAATGTAATTTACAAAATACATTGCAATGACTGTGAGGTTAACTACATAGGTCAAACTAGTAGGTCGGGGGTAGTCAAATTATTGGAATATAAGAATTTGGCTAAGGTAAGAATGGTTGACCCCGAGAAGATAAGTAATTTAGAAAAGAGCACAGCTATTGCACTACATGCATTAACGCACAACCACACAGTAGGGTGGTAGGGGTTTAGGATTCTAAGAAGTAATCTGTGTAGGTGGAGAGAGAGAGATTGATTACTGAATACTTGTTCACTGAGTCTATACAAAAACACATGCAACAGAAATGACTCAATGCGAATACCAGAAATATGGAAGATATTACCGCCAGTCAGTCAAATCAGAGGAGGATAATAAATATATTATTATTATATCCTTTAATTCCTAGAGGAACATAGAGCTTCAGCCGCGCGTCTTCATTGCGTTCGGTTTTCTGCCAACTTTTCCACTCCGTTCCAAGTCTGCCCACACGCTATCATCTCCTCTTCACATGACCTCCTCCAAGTCACCCTCGCACTGACCACCAACTCGCCACTTCCCTTTCGGGTTCCACTCGAACGATGGCTTGTCTATGAATGTCACTTGATGATTTGTTTCCTCAGAGTATGGCCAATCCATCTCCATTTCTTCCTGCCTATTTGTTGCACAATCGGTTCCTGGTTGGTTAGCTCATTGTCAGAGATCCCTGTCACTGATCTTTTCTGGCCGGTCATCTTATCTTGAGTATTGAGCGAAGACAACTGTTGATGAAGGTATGTAGTTTGTTTGAGATGCTCTTTATGACTCGGCACCAAGTCTCTGATCCATATAGTGTGTAGCACTGAATTCACATTGGAGTTGAAAATCCGGATCTTTTTTTTGATGCTGTGTTGTTGACTTCCACACAGACTTAAGAGTAATGAAAGCTTGTTTTCCTTTTCCGATTCTGGCTTTGATATCCTCGTCAGTTCCGCCTGTAGTTAAAATGATGCTTCCCAGGGAGGTGTAGTAAAGGTGGTTGTTTCTTTCAGGTTCCTCCCATTTGTGCTGACTGTCGTCTGTTGTTGTTGGCCAAGAATCTTCATCACCTCTGTTTTCTCTAAGTTCACCTGAAGTCCTATCTTTGATGCTTCTTCTGCAAACGTGCTGCTTTTCACCTGTGTATCTTCCAGTTTGTGGGAAATCAGCCATATATCATTGGCGAAGTCCAGATCCTCCAAGTGTTTTGTGTGAGTCCATTTTATGCCTGTTTCCTCATTGCCCGAAACTGTCGCAATATTCAATCTACTGCAATCAGGAAGATCATTGGCGACAGTTCACAGCCTTTCCTAACTCCCGTCCTATTTCGAAAGCTTCCGTAACTTTCTCGTTGTGGAATACTTGGCATACAGCATTGTCGTATAACTGTTGGATGAGATGTATAGTTGTTGGCGGCACCCCGCAGTAGAGGAGTAATTGCCAAATGACCTCTCGATCGGCGCTGTCGAAGGCCTTTTCAAAATCAATGAAGCTGAGGTAGAAGTAGAGAACTGACAGCCATCCCGAGCTCTGTTCAATGATGATCCTCAGTGTTGCGATTTGACTGATGCATGAATTGTTCCTCCTGAATCCAACCTGTTCCTGTTGATCTTTTCCCTCCAGGTTGGCGTGTTTGATTCTCTCCAGGATGATGCGGCTTAGTATTTTGCTTGGAATGGACAGAAGCATAACTCTGCGCCAGTGCTTACATTCACTTAAATCTGCTTTCTTTGAAAGCTTGAATAAGTATCCTTTCTTCCAATCCTCGGGTACTTTGCCCTGTTTCCACACCTTCTCCAGTAATAACGTCATCAAGTCCGCTGTTGTCCCTGGGTCCATTTTCAATGCTTCTGCTGGGATTCCATCTGGTCCTGCTGCCTTTTCAGCTTAGAATCTTGACTGAATTCAGGACTTCTGATTTCGTCGGGGGACGATGTTCACCGGTAGTTCTGCTTCCGTTGTTGGTATTGTTGGGCGCGTTGTAGGTGGCGGTCGATTTAGAAGTCTTCTGAAGTGTTCAGCTCAGTGTTTTCTTTGCTCCACTTCTTTGGTGATTGACTTTCCATTGTCAAACGTTTGCCTGATAGGTGCCTAGTTGTTTGGTAGAATGTGGCAAGGTCTCCTTTGCCTGCAGCTTGTTCTGCTTCACTTTCTATAACTTTATAATATTTTCTTTTGTCTTCCCTGACACTCTTCTTTACTCTTTTGTTTAGTGTATTGTAGCTTGCATTCAACTCCTGTTTTTGTTGCTCGTCGGTGCACTGGATAATCTTTTGTTTCACTGTCCTTCTCTCTTCTATTAGTTTCCAAGTATCCGCAGTGAGCCACTGTTTGTCCTGCCTCTTCTTTCTGCCTAGAACTTCCATGCAGGTTTGACTCCACACCGTTTTCAAGTTGTCCCAGTGCTTCTCGATGCTGACCTCTTCGCTAGTGTTGATTTGTGTCTCGGCTTTTTCCCTTATGTTTGCAATGAAGACGTCCTTTGTAGCCTGATCCTTCAGTTTTTGAGTGTTGAACATGGCTTGTGTTCTATCTGCAGCTCCTGTTTCCCTGAAAGCTTACAATTTCATTTGAATTGTCCCTTGTACGTGATAGTGATTTGAGCCAACGTCTGCTCCTGTTCTTACTTTTGTGTCCAGTAGGCTGCGCCTCCACTTCCTTGAGATTGAGATGAAGTCAATTTGGTTTTGGATAATAAATAATCTTAACATTATATTTCAATTCAAGCACATCGCAACACTCTAGCAAGTTACTTATTTCAATTATAAAAACACTCGTCTTATTTGTCATCTGATTGTAACTG